CAGGCACTGGCAGACACCCCCCCCACCCCACCAAGAGACCCTGACCACCAATGGTATGAACATCTTCACCTTCCTTCCCTATCTGTATCCGTCTCTCTCACAGCTTTCTTCTCTAGATTGACCTGCACATCAACAAAAACACAAATGTTGGTGGTAATAACTAGTGTGTAAGCTACTGCTGAAACTGTAGAGCTATAAATATCAGTGCACAGATATAGGTAGTACCCATCTCATAAATAAGTGAAATTTCAAAGTAACCCAACTGTTTGGAACCCAGATGCTTTCCCACCTTAAGAAGATGCTATAAAAGCTTGTTAGGGCCCCACACCAGCCATTAACCCACAGTGCAGCTGAAACATTCTCCATATTCATCCATAATACAAAAGGAAGAAACAAAGCTTTCCCTCTTCAGCTCAGAATTTCAGTTTTAAACCAAACTACAGTCACAGCTGTTCCTTGAAATGGCCCTCTTTCAGCCAGCCTGGCTCTGAAATTTATTTCTAAAGACACCTATGTGCTTAAAAATGAAAGAGTATCAATATGTCAAGGGGGAGTGGGAAGTGGACTGAGTTCAAGAGTGGCCCCCCTCTCCAAATTTCAAGCCCACACATAACCTGTGCATGTGACCTTATTTGGAAATAGGGTCACTGTAGTGGTACTGTGACCAAGAAGATTAACACAAGGCATTACTGGATTGAGGTTGACCTCATCCAGTGATTCATGTTCTTGTAAGAGGAAAATTCACACATATCGAGAGAGAGAGAGAGAGAGAGAGAGGGAGGGAGAGAGAGAGAGACTTCCCTGGTGGTCCAGTGGCTAAGACTCCATGCTCCCAACGCAGGGGGCCCGGGTTTGATCATCAGTGTTGAACTAGATTCCACATGCCCCACCTAAGAGTTTGCATGGCACAACTGAAGATCCCGAAAAATCTCCCATACCACCACCAAAATCAGAGGTCCAGATGCTGCATCTAAGACTCTGCACAGTCAAATAAATAAATATTAAAAAGGAAAGTGATAAAAAAAAGATACAGAGAGAATAATACCTATTTGAAGATGAAGGCAGAGTCTGTAGTGATGTATCTACACACCAAGGGCAGCAAGGATTGTCAGAAACCACCAGAATCTAAGAGACAAGCTCGTTTTCCAGAGCCCCCAGGAAAACTAACCCTGCCTGCACCCTACTTCAGACTTCTAGCCTCCAGAACTGTGAGAGAATTCAGTTTGACTGTTTGAAGTCCCAGTATGTAGTCATTTGTCACAGCAGCCCCAGGAAACTAATCCAGGAAGTAAATACCTACCAGTGGAGAAATCTGGCAGGAGGGGAAGCACCAGAAAAGAAAATACACTTTCTTACTGAGAAGTCTGTATTTATTGTGTTCCTTCTTCCCCTGGCCAAGAACTCTCCCAAATACTGTTTGCATTGACATCAGGGTATGTGACTACTGGAAGTTTTTCACATACTGTTTGGCTCCTGTGGTCTTAGCTGAAAATCACATCAGAATGGGGTGGGGAGTGATGGGGGAGGAAGGAGGTCCAAGAGAAAGGGGACATATGTAAATACACACACACACACACTCTCATGTGCTTAGTTGCCCAGCTGTGTCCAACTCTCTGTGACCCCATGGACTGTAGCCTACCAGGTTCCTCTGTTTATGGGAATTCTCTAGGCAAGGATACTGGAGTGGGTTGCCATGCCCTTCTCCAGGGGATCTTTCCAACCCAGGGATCAAGCCTAGGTTTCCTGTATTGCAGGAAGATTCTTTACCATCTAAGCTACCAAATAGCTCAACAGGTATCTGTGATATAGCAGAAAGTAATACAACATCGTAAAGCCACTATGCATGCGTGCTGAGTCGTGTCCTGCTCTTTGCAAACCCATGGATGGTAGTCCACCAGGCTCCTCTGTCCATGGGATTCTCCAGACAAGAATACTGGAGTGGGTTGCCATTCTCTTTTTCAGGGTATCTTCCCTACCCAGGGATCAAACCCGCATCTCCTGCATCGGCAGGCAGAATCTTTACCACTGAGCCTCCTGGGAAGCCCTATACTCCAATAACAAATAAACAAAAGAAACATATAAAGATGGAAAAAGGAACTGAGCCAATAGAGACAACTCATTTCCTTTCAAGGACAGTGTTGGGGCAAGAAAGGTGGAGGGATGTTTCAAGAGCTGCTTCTAAATTCAACCCAAGTTCAGCCTTTCCCAGGTATTGAGTTGGCCAAAAGATTAATCTGGGTTTTTGGATGGAAAATCTGAATGAACGTTTTGGCCAACCCCACAGTTGACCAACTAGGAATGCTGCTTGCTTCCTAGAGACTAATCCTTTCTCAATAGGAATCCTCCCTCAACCATGGCCCCAAAGAGCTTGGAGTCCTTATAATTCCTAAATCCCCAAGCTCTCTGGGAAGACACTTCAAAGTGTGTGTGCACGTGTACAAACTCATGGACACTTTTATAAATCAAGGCATATTTTCCCTTTTGGCTCTTACCCCACCAGGTCACATATTGCTTACCTTTCTCTTCTCTGTTCTTTATTTTTACTTGTGTCTTCAAAGACCAAGTGAAGAATGACTTATACCCATTTTCTGACACTCAGGAGAAAACACAAAAACAAGAGTCTAGTGGATTTCACAGTTTTGTCTGGGCTGAATCCTAGTACTACCTCCAATATTCAGGAATAGAGGCAGGAAACTATTTTTCATTCATATTCAACAGATATTTATTGGACACCTGGATGTGAAAAGCACTCTTTTCTGTTCTGGGGATAAAGCGATAAAAATATAAACATCGGACTTCCATGGAGGTTCAGCGATTTTAAGACTCTGTGCTTCTAAAGCAAAGGATTCAGGTTTGATCCCTGGTCAAACACGTTCTGTGTAGCATGGCCAAACAAACAAAATTCTCCTTGTGGAGCTTAAATTCTAATAGGAAATAAGTTGAATAAATACAGTATGGTTGTGCTAAGAGCTAAGGAGTTAATAAATGCAGAGAAAGGGGCTTGAAAGTATACATATAGGGTAAGGAAGCGACATCGTCATCAGACTGCCCTTAACAGGCCTCAGTGAGCAGGCAGTCTCTGAGCAAGCCCTGAAGGAAGGGAAGAAACAATGGAGTAACTGGGGAAGAGTGTTCCAGCAGAGGGGTCAGCATGTGCAAAGGTCCTGAGGCAGGCACGTGGCTGGTGCGGCTGTTGAAGAGTGAGGAGGCTAATGTGGCTACAGCAGGGCTGGAAACGGAACAACAGCAGATGAGGTCAGAGGTAAGAACAGGCTAGATTATCCTGGACCACATAAGGCATGAAAGTGGACTTTCCTCTGAGTGTTCTGAGGAACTTTGGGAAGACTGAACAGAGTTATGACTTAAATGGGTGCAAGACCTTTGGTGGGTCATTGATCTGAGTATCAGTTTTTTTGCCCCTAAAATGGAAAGGCCATGCCAAGTAAATATCTAAGCTCTCTTCTAGGTGTAAAAATTGATTTTTAGACATCTAGAGAATGCTCGGTTCCCACAGAACAGATAATAAAACCATGACCTTCTGCCCATCTTCACTGCTCTCTGGTGCTTCAAAGATGACACAGTGACCCAGCCCGGGCTTGGAAGGGAGCCTGGTTATGAGAGATGGTGTGATTATAGCAAACGCCTGGGACCTGAGTCCCCCAGGAACACATGGGGTGTCCTCAATGATACCGACATTCACCCGGCCCTCTAACACCCAGCCACCTGTTCCCCGTCTCGGCAATCCAGGGCACTCTCTGTACAGAACAAGGCGGCGGCCAAAGGAGATCAAATATGTGTTTGCTTCCCATTAAATACAAATCTAAAAATAAGCATTTTCCTTTCTCATCATTTCACATCACGCATGGAGAGTTCACTTTAATTTTCAAGTCCGTTTACTTCATTTCAGGGAAGTTTGGGAGCTTTGAATAGAATTCACCCTGCGGGCTTCTTGCCTGGATCAGCAAGTCTGTCTTTTTTCGGTTCCCCTTGATACTATTTACTCCTCTTCCCCTACAAACACAAAATCCCATAGAAATGCACAACAAAGTTTCCTGTGGTTTTAATATCTCTACTTCTCAATGAAGAAACCATGACTCGTAGGACCTTCCCCTAGCTGCTCAGAGAAGAGTCACAGCTGGCCTCTCTACTGTTTGACTCAGACCTACGTTTGCATATGTATTGGGTTGGCTAAAACATTTGTTCAGGTTTTTCCATCAACTTATACAGGAAAACCTGAACGAAGTTTTCGACCAACCCCAAAACAGGACTTTACCAAGCAATCTTTGAACTTCTGAATAAACCCCACAGTATTATCTTAATACCAATATTATTAGTCTATCAGAACCTCTTTTAACAGTGACTTAAAGAACACCATCCCTACCAGCACAGTGTGTTATTAATGACAATTATAGTCTAAGCGTATGAGAGAAGCTTCTAGAAAACCAGCAAGGAGCAAAAACTATGACGACTCTGGATTCCAACCACCTCACTGTGAATAACAGGTAACTGATCAGAGATCTGGGACCTCCAACACTGTGTTCCCCACGCCAGAGCAGCGCCTAAAATATAACAAATACTCTAGGTATGTCTATTTCATAAGCAAATGAAGGAAAGGTGCAAACACCTGTGAAACTTGGCACTGGAGCCCGACCTCCTCCTTTCTACACTTTTTTGATGTGACTTTGCCTGTTAGATGGATCTAGAAACCAATGTACAAAGCAGAGCGCCCAGGGTGACGGATGGGGAGCACAGAGCATGCGCCTGCATCACCGAGGTCCCCAGCAGGAAGGGCACAGAGCAATTTCCACCTAAATTGGCTGGCAAGAGCTTAAGAAATTAGAGGAGAGACAATTTCCTCTTCTAGCTTATTTCCATCAGCCGCGTCACCATCTTTAGTGGTTGGGTCCAGGCAGCGAGAAGGCCGGGCCCAGGCTGGCTTATGTCTCCTGTGAACACACAGAGGACTCAGTCCCTGCTCTTGGGAAATGGCCTGGTCTTACCTCCGCAGCAGGAACTCCCTCTGGAGGCCGGCAGTGTAGCACAATCATGCCTTCGATGGGCACCTCCCTTCCCTGTGGGTCTTGCTCAAAGTTCTTCCGTAAATCTGCAAAGAATGGGAAAGATATGACACTTTGCTCTGGGGCCAGGAAGATCCACATTTGCTCCAAAGATGATAAAACAGTGAGCTTAATGTCACAACCTAGACACACACACACACACACACACCCTGGTTTCAGGAGTTCCAGAATCTAAGAATCCTTTTCCTGAATATTCACAAACACATTTCAAATAAGCCTTAATCAAACTGTCCCTAATGTTCTCTACTGATATGATGGATAGAAGATTTACTAGGAGAGCAGGAAAGAAAAAACTCATTACTTCATGAGTCTTTGCTAGCATTATCTACTTAGCATCTGATAAAACACTTGGTCTAATAAATTGCCATCCACAGCTATTATGCAGCTGAGGTGCACGTGATTTTTTTTTATTAACTAAAGAATGCATTATTAATTTGTAACCTCTGCATTCCCTTAGCCCTCTAGGGAGCTCTAGAAGATGGTAATAAGAGTGTGATTACCTATTAGTCTTTTATTTGTAACCAGGGAGAAGAGGCAACATTCAACCACAACAAAATCTATAACCTATCCAACCAAACATATAATTAAAAAATACAACGCCCTCCAGTCCAGCAACAACACTGGGCATCCATGTAGTGTCTTCTTGGAAGACTCCAGGCTCTTTGCAAACAAGCTGCACCATTAACCTTTTACACGTAGATGGGTGACACGTGGAGGGGTTAATTGGCTTGCCAGCGGTCACAGAGAATATCAATGCCAGGGATGGGGAAGAATTTACCGTGTGTCCAGACATTAGTCTGTGAGTACTCACCAGCAAATCTTTTTCAGGGAAAAGGACACACGCAGGGACAGTTGAGAAAGAGAGAAAGAGTATCATCTGCATGGCTTTCCACTTAAGCATATGCTTCATTAGCAAGAGTGGGAGTTGGTCTCTACTTCTTTTGGAGGTGTCATAACAACACTTTGATAATTTAACCTCACAAGCTTATTTCTGCTGTCATTTGAAAGCCTGGGATAGTGGAGTGAAGACAGTTTGACAAGCCTTCCTCAAGACCTCCCCCTCCCTCCCGGACAATGTATTTTTCTTCAACCGAGAATCTCAAATTACAGGCTGTGGATTTATTGATTTAATTTTCTTTAGTGCTTACAATAACATGAAATATGTTCTCCGTAAAGAGCAGAGCTTCAGAATCAGTTACATCTGTATAAATGGTATAAATACATTAGACTTGCTTTTAGCAAGTCAGAAACACGCCATGAATAACAAGCCCAGCAATCCATGTATTCACTTTCTTTGGAATTTTACTCTTCATGTTTTCCCTCCCAGAGGCGACTGATGTCTTTTGTCAGCTAGGCTGTCTATTTGGAGATCATCGTGAGTGTATGTGAAACCAAGGATCTTACAAGGACTCACATTGTAGGCAGGTGGCAGGATCTATTTTCCCGTTTCTCTGCTGTCCTCCCAAACTGTAAAGCCAAGCTTCCTTCTATTAGAGATCTGTAAATTGTCACTGCAGATCTGCAAATTGCCACAGCCTTTACGATTCAGGATTTCTAATTCCAAGTTTGAGGAAGTTCACATAATTGATAACAAAACTATGAGTGATGGGGATGTGAATAAGCCCTGGAATGAAAAATCTCATGTTTCCTGCATAATTGGACCACAAATTCTCCTTTGCTCTCCCACAAGGGATCACGGAGTCAAAAACCCCCTTTCTAGGAATGTCCCTGGTGGTCCAGTGGTTTAGAAGCTGTGCTGCAATGCAGAGGATGTGGGTTCAATCCCTGGTTGGGGAACTAAGATCCCACATGCCATGGGAAATCTAAGCAGGTGGACTACGACTACTGAGCCTGCACACCAAAACAAAAGATCTCACAGAATGCAAAGATCATCCTATGTGCCACAACGAAGGCCTGATGCAGCCAAACCAATCAATAAATAGATTTTTAAAAAATCCTCGTTCCTTATGACTAATTTACTCATCAGGGCTACAGTCAACCCCCTTATTCATGGGGGATAGGGTCCAAGAACCCAGTGGATGCCTGAAACCCCAGACAGTACCAAATCCTATATATCCTGGGGTTTTTTTTTTCCTATGCATACAATCCCTATGATAAAGTTCAATTTATAAAGCAGGCCCAGTAAGAGATCAACACTACGAAGACTAAAATAGAATAATTATAACAGTATACTGTAATAAATGTTATATGAACATAGTCTCTCTCAAAATATCTTACTGGACAAATTGAACGCTTTTCCATCTTAACGAAGCACTTCAGTGTGGTGGCTGTAACGCTTTTAGTTTGAAGGGCGACAGTAAAACTAACACGGATTTCTTTTCCCTTCTTCACAATTTTATGGAGAGAAGATTCATGCTGACCACAGATCTTAAGAAGCTCAGGATATAATTTTTTCTCTTTCCTTACTAAGTCCTTATTAAGAACTTCCACTTTTTCACTTAAAGAAAGCACTTTTCAGCATTTCTTTGGTGTCCCTGAATTTCCAGCATCACTATCTTTATGTGTTGGGTCCATTATTAATTAAAACAAGGGTTACTTGAACACAAGTAGTGTCATACCAGGGCAGTTGATCTGATAACCAAGACAGCTACTAAGATTAACGCGCAGGACACGCTGGATGAAGAGATGATTCACTTCCTGGGCAGGATGCAGCTGGATGGCAGGAGATTTCATCCTGCTACTTGGCACAGCACATGACTTAAAACTTGTGAATTGTTAATTTCTGAAATTTTCCATTTAATATTTTCAGACTAAGGCTGACTGTGGGTAACTGAAACCAGAGATAAGAGAGATGACTCTGTATTGAAATGAGCCTGTTGCAGGGTGTGGGTGACTCTTACATGACACATCAGCTTGCTAATGGAAAGAAACGGTGGTATTTTTGTGCCTAATTCTGTTGGGCTTGTTTGCCACTTTTTCCTCTTCTTTGATTGTTTTGTTTTCGAAAAGGAACTCTCACCCAGTGCTGCTACACAATGATTGCAGTTTTGACAACACCAAATAATCTGCATTCAACCCAATGAAGCACAGAAAACAGACAATGGGGATTTCTATTTTGTCTTATACTATTTCTATTTTGTCTTCTATTTCCTTTCTTTGCTCACTTGAAATGGAAATGGTAACAAAATGCAGAGTTTTTGGGTATTTCCACACATCAGCGAATGAGAAGAAACTAGAGTGAAGTCATTTTCCCTCCACACTCCCACCTGCTTAAGGAAGTAGGTAAGCAAATATAAAGAAAGGAAAACCCTGAGGATTTCTCTGGTGTTCCAGTGGCTAAGACTTGGTGCTCCCAAAGCAGGGGGTCTGGGTTCAATCCCTGGTCAGGGAACTAGATCCCATGTCCCGCAACTGAGAGATTCCACGTGCTGCAACGGAGACCTGGAGCAGCCAGTTAAATAAATCTTTAAAAAAAAAAAAAAAGGAAGGAAAATCCTGTATTGACACTGGGATATGGGAAAGAGTATTGTCTATAAGCAAGAAGCTAGGAGAAATTTCTTTTTGATCTCATACAGTTAGGATCAGATTGAAGAAAGGACCCACACAACGCCCTGATCTTCCCAATTGACATTGGCAATCACTGTTGAAGTTTTCCAACAAGAAGTATATATCCACTTCTAAATGTGGAGATAGGAAGGTTAAAAGCAGAAGACAGAGGGTCAGGCAACAACTGTGGTGTCATAAACATGGATCCAACTCATCAAAGGCAGCCCATCACAGACCAGGTATCACACTGAATAAGAAACCCAAGTGTCAGAGTTCTGGCTTGTGCCTAATACTGGTGGCAGGAACTCTGGTACTTTTGATTCCCAAGGAGGACAAACATAGCAGACTAATTCCAGATTGCTACTAAATGTACCAAAATTTATACAAATAAATTCTTAGGCATAGAAGTAAATGATTTCAGCTCTACCTACAATTCTCATCATAGGTCACTCAATATAGTTTTGCTGTTTGTTTGTTTAGGCTTTTTGTTTCTGATTTTGTATTTTTCTTGATCCTGCCAGGCAGCTTGCAGGATATTAGTTCCTGACCAGGGATTGAACCCAGGCTCCTGGCAGTGAAAAACATACAGTCCTAACCACTGGACCACCAGGGAATTCCTGACAACTTCTGAATTGGCAAACTAGATACTTTTATCACCTATGCTAGTTCCAAGGCCTGAAAGATTCACAGAGAAAATTGTGTCAATTCCCACAGTAAGAAAAACATCCACAGTCTTGTAAAAAGAATTAGACTACAAATGAAGGAGACAAACCATAGAACTGAAATGGCTTCCTCTAAGACTGGAAACAAGAGGCACTTTTGGAGAGCTTCTAATATAAGTTATTTAAAATCAAAAGGAAATAGTAACTGAGAATCTAGAGTAGGGATTTATAAATAGGATAACATCTGAGATGTTATCTGCCACTATGCGTGAAAAACAACAACAACAACAACATAACTGCTGAATTAGAAATATATGTCATGGAGACAGTAAACAGCATACTGAAGATTGCTGAAAATTGAACTAGTAAAACAGAAGATAGATTTGTCAGGATCCAGGCAAGACACAGAAAGCACACAGTTGTTTTAACAGAAAATATTAATGTAAAAATCGAAGGGCTAAATAGGCAAAAGGGGAACTCCTAGGAGCTGTTCCCATCCCTGGGACGGGGGGTGAGGGAACCAAAGGAAGAGACTGAGGTTACAGAACTTGAAGCTTAGAGAGGGCTCTACTCTCCAAGGAGAGGGCACAGCATGCTGGCATCTCAGGAACTTGGAAGAGGAACCCAGGACTTAAGACCTAGATCTCTGAACAAGGGCTGGTGGTGCTGGCATCTCTTGGAGGAGAAGGATGGAGTGCAGCACATAATAAAGCTGGATCTGGAATTGCTTTTAAAAAGTAAGTGGGAAACAAGAAGCTGCTGCCACTTCTATACAGAAATTCTGCTGGGATGATGTTGACAGAGACAGAAAATGAACAGAAAGTAGTAGCCTTCCCTTCCTCTTCCACTCTGCAGGC